TCTCAATATATATCGATGGTCAATTGTCTTCTAAGTGACACAAAGACATATCAAGTCCTACAAAACGATCCTACTACTGAATATATTATTGAAGCGAAAAGTTTATTGTCACAAGCACTTGACAACAAATTCATCACAAAAGATGAATTTAAATTCATGTTCACAAGATATCCTATGACATCCACATTCTATAGCCTTCCAAAAATTCACAAGTCTTTAACTAGTCCTACTGGGCGTCCAATAGTCTCTGGCACAGGCAATTTGACTCAAAATATGAGTATATATCTTGATAAGATAATGGGTCCATTTGTATTAAAACTTCCCTCGTATGTAAGGGATACAAAACAAATGTTACAACTTATGGAAAATACCATTGTACCTAGGGAGGCATTATTATGTAGCCTTGATGTGGAGTCTCTTTATAGCTCTATCCCACATACTTTGGGGATTGAGAACTTAAGACTAACTCTACAGCTACAATCAAATTTCTCCTTGGAATACATAGATTTTGCCTGTAAAGTCCTTACTCTTGTGCTCACTAAAAACATCTTTCTCTTTAATGGTACAATTTACCATCAGATAATGGGTACAGCGATGGGCACATCTTGTGCCCCTTCATACGCGAACCTATACTTGGGTACATGGGAAAAGAACCTTCAAACTGACGAATGCTTGTCTCAATTTTTGACCAAAATACATTGCTGGAAACGTTACATCGACGATGTATTCATCGTGTGGCTGGGTACAATAAATGATTTCAATGAATTTGTACGGCTGCTGAATGTGAACGTCTTGAATTTACGTTTCACCAGTGAAATTGGGGGTAAACATTTGAACTTTCTAGATATCACTCTGTCATTACAAGAGGACGGTAGAATCTCCACAACATTGTACCGTAAAGTAACAGCTACAAATAGCCTTCTAAACTGGGATAGTTATCATCCCTATCCCTCCAAAGCGGGTATCCCGATTGGGCAATATCTGCGTTTACGTAGAAACTGCTCAACCCTCGAAGATTTTAAGATAAAGGCGCTAATTTGCGGAAATCTTTCAAGGATAAAGGGTACCCAAACAGAGTTCTTAAAAAGGCATACTCAAGGGCATTAAACTCAGACAGAGTGAATCTTCTCGAGGACAAAATTTTACCCTCTAGCCATCAGATTCGCTGTATTGGGACACATGATGCAGGTTGGCACACAATGCTGCAGATTCTCAGCAGATATTGGCCGATCCTGACATCAGATGTCCATATCAAATCAGTCATCTCTCCTTTTCCTTCCGTTACGGCACGTAGAGGGAAGAACTTTAAGGACGTTTTGGTACCTAGCCACTTTGGTCCATTTAATAAATCTTCTAAATCCTATTTACCTAAAGGCACTTATAGATGCGGTCACTGTAGTGCCTGTCAGTACATAGGTAAAGAAACAAAGATTTTTTTCGACAGTTTGAATCTTGACTCTCATTCTGTACAGTCTTTCTTCAATTGCCGTACAGAGGGAGTCATCTACCTTTTGACATGTTCTTGTGGCATGAAGTATGTTGGAAAAACATTCCGACCTTTTAAGTTCCGCATTAGAGAACACGTCAACTCAGTCAGAAGTAAACTGGAAACTCCCATCTCAAGGCACCTCAAGACTTGTCATGCAAATTCATCCAGTAGGATACGCTTTATGGGCATAGAACTCATAACCCAAAAACAACGTAAAGGGGATTGGGATCGTAGGCTCAAACAAAGAGAATCCTACTGGATATATAAATTGAAAACACTGTCACCACAGGGATTGAATGAAGGTTTTTCATTCTCATCATTTTTGTAGACTGATAGGTATTTCCACCAACAGTTTCTATACAACCATCTGATCTACCTTATAATAATCATTTGCTGTCTGTAAATATGTAAATAAGTCAATAATAAAAATTCTCTTTTTCTCTTTCTCTTTTGCATTAGTCACATGGTTCCTAATAGGTTTCATACCTTATTATATTACATAGCTGCCTTAAATGGTGGTGAATTTCTTTTGAGATTAACCAGTAGTCACAGTCAATCCTGATTTGAAACGCTGTTTCATTATTTGTAAAGTATAAAGAATATATAACCCTCTGCAGTGTAAACCTAACTTAAGCCTTATACTTAATTGCCATTATTAATAAATATGAATCCCAGTGGAAGCATTATACAGCAGGGTGCTATATTTTAATGTCCTGGCAAATTTACGTGTATATGTCCAGGTATATAGAGGATAATTAATTAATTACTTTTTACAACTTAATTCTTTTTGACTGTTATTATAATTTTTTGGGGTCACCAAGTTACAAGAGCTGTATTATATGCCTTTAATGCTTTTATGCATCTGGAGGCATTGTATATATCAATATTTGGCATAATGACTGACTGTGTGATCTGTCAGCCAGTTTCATGCCAGAGGTGCAGTTAGAGGGAGGGGGGCTTAACTATATAGCCCCTTCCCTGTGCTACATTTTGATACTTCTCATTGATATCATATATATTGGCTAGTTAGGTTTATGTCAGTTTTGTTATCAGGAGGAGGGATGCTTGATTTTGCACCCTCCTCCTGTATTGATTGACTGATAGATCTTCCAATGGTTATCCCCATGTGAGCAGCAGGGTTTGGATAGGTGTGTTCTGATTATGCATAAGTCCCTCCCCCACCTCTCAGTGATTGACTTTGTTATTCTCCAATGAGACTCCAGCATAAGCAATGACAGGGTTGAGGAGGAGTGGTGACTCCATGTCAATCACCCACCCCTCCCACATGCTGGATCAGCTGGAGGGACTTTTCTCTGATTGCTCAGGTATTTAACCGGCTTCAATAGGAACTGCATTTGCAATAGCTCCTGACGACGGCGTGTATGCACGCTGAAACGCGCGTCGAGCGCCTTATTTGATTTATCCTTTTTTTTTTTTTCTCACATTAGGTAGCACTTAGGTAGTAAGTATGTTTGATTTAGTTAGTTAGTATAGTTAGCAATTTATTATTTGGCATTTAGAGTTTTTCTAGGCAGGCATTTTTTTGGTCCTGGGGGCTTTCCTCTGGACTTAGGGCTTGTCCTTAGTGGGTCTGCCCCTGTCCTCCTTTGCTCTCTTTTTTCCTATGCATGTTTGTATAGGCTCCTGTTTGCTTGCCTTTATATTAGTGGGGTGATTTATGTATTACACATATTTTGTGTTGCCTTATTGTATTTTTGCAGCTTAGGTGTCCTAATTTTGGACATTTTATCTAGTATAAATGCTAGAGTCTCCCTTTTTTTTTTTTTTTAAAGGGACATTCCTTTGCTGCTATTAAATACAACTAGCAGTGGCTTATATAGGGTATATATGGGTATTTCTATTTATCCCCCTTCACCCTTTTATCCATTTACAAGTACAGCCCCCTCTTTTTCTCTACTTGCCACCTGGTAACTATACTATTTATTCTGTTAAGTTCAGCAGCTACTTCTGGGATCCCCTTGTTTCAAGGGTCTCCGTCATTCAACTACATTAAGGAGGAACATATGGCAAGAGATTTGAAAATGATTGCTGCAAATAAACTTGCAGAAGAATTGTGATTGGATGACTCAAGACAAGGCGCTGCAGCAACAAAAGACATCAACTTTATAATAATAATGGTGGCCTAAATTTCACAAACAAATCAAGTACAATCACTATAGATTTTCTAGATATTACTTTTTAAGTGTAAAATCAGATGATCAAAATAACATTTAAAAAAAAAACAGAAGGCAGTAAAAAAACAAAATAGTTGCCAGAAATTCAATTGGAAACATTTTTTTATGTGGGCATAGAACAGATTGATACTCATTGAAGAGGCGGGGATAGAACTAAAGAGAAACATTTTAGATAAATAAACTTAAAATTTACAACTTTGTGGGCTCAACATAGACATAGATTTGTCTTTTTGTTTTTGTTTGTTTTTTTAGATATGTAAGTCTGCACGGTGCCACTTTTTGTTCATTGCACTTTTCCAAATAAAGTAAAGGATCTATAAACCTTTTTATTAATTTCTGACAGATATAGATACATGTATACATATATAATTTTTATATTCTATTTTATACATATGTTTTTTTTAGATTCTTTATATTTTTCTTTTAACTGGGATTGTGCACTGATTCTTTCATTATTTCTCACAGAGTTGCAATTGCTATGGGACTATCGCGATTACTATGTGATCTCCGACGCTGCACGCTCTAGGTCATCACGCACACGGCATTCACGCATGCGCACTCACCCACTCTGCACTACACGATGTTTGGCTCAGAGACTGAGGTAAGTCATTATATTTTATGTTTTATGCTCTATAAATTCACTGTATTTGCATTTGTGTACATCTTGATAAAGACCGATGTTTCGAAACGTTGATACTCATCACTTGTTAAGAAATATCGCATCACTTTGGAAAATCAATCTAGTACTGTAATTTTTTTGTGATTTTGTTATATTTTTTTTAAATATATGAAATATTTTTAAATAATTTTTATATATTTGTATTTGGGTATTTTGTAACATATTTATATACATGTATTTTTGCACCAGATCATATATCTTCATATGAAATCATTTTCTCAAATCTTAAAAAAACAACAACAAAAAAACCTTTTCCTTATTAGTAGTATTTGCACATTTATGTTTAGTTTTTGTGCATCGGTTTGTATCTTTTTTACGGCAGGGAAATAGTGCAATTGAAACCATACCCATACTGAGACCAATCCCCTTTGTGTAAGGATAATGCTTTTTGAACATTATGTTTTACTGATATGTGCAATATTTCTACACTTTCCCTATTCCTCTACCCCCTCCTATATATAAGAATGAACATCGAAGAACTAAGAATGTAAGATCAGTAAGAAACACATAAGAATCGACGTGGTACGCAAGTACCCATGGACTTTCCGGTATTGGCCATGGATAGCACGCTGGAATGCATGTTACCTTCACGCATTGAGACCGATGATAGCACACGTAACTGAACGAAGCGCCACCGATGTTACGTATTGTTTAAATTTCGATCTGTAAGGAGCATGGTAATGCCTGCTGCTAAAACAGGAAGGGATAGAAGTAGAAGTACAGCGGTAATTAAAACCGATCAAACAAATAGAGGGGTTTGGTATTGAGTTATGGCAGGTGGTTTCATATTCAAGATGGTAGTGATAAAGTTAATTGCCCCCAGAATTGATGAAACGCCTGCTAAATGGAGGGAAAAAATGGTCAAATCAACTGATGCTCCTGCATGGGCTAAATTTCCAGCTAAAGGAGGATACACAGTCCAACCGGTTCCGGCCCCTGATTCTACTGCTGATGAGGCAAGAAGTAGTAAGAAAGATGGAGGTAAGAGTCAGAAGCTTATGTTATTCATTCGTGGGAATGCCATATCTGGGGCCCCAATTATTAAGGGAATCAGTCAATTACCAAACCCTCCGATCATGATTGGTATCACTATAAAGAAAATTATTACGAATGCATGTGCGGTAACGATTACGTTATAAATTTGGTCGTCTCCAAGAAGCGTTCCTGG